AAAAGAAAAATAGGAGTAAGACTTAGAAAGAAGGAAAAGGGATGAATTAAGTCTGTCTTCCAGACACTGAGCGGAAATATGCCATCAGAATATCTCGAATGCTGGTGATGCCAAACGGTGTGATTTCTGAGGGACCTCGTGCTACCAGGCTGATGGTCAGTGTTATTGCAGGATTCAGAATCATTTGATGCCATGGGGAGTTTCCACCTCCGATTATTTCATATCCTGGGGTTGTTCTTCCCAACCCAATGGAGAAAAACAGATGCCTGTGGTACATGATCATGGCCGTGGAGAGTTTTTAATCATAGGTATGAAAATAGATTGATGTCTGAGTAAATACCTGCAACCATCTATGTGTCTTCTTACTAACTTTAATGTGCACTGATGAATAAGGATGACATATGAGCATTAAAAATAGTCCAGAGAGAAAAAAGATTCTCAAATTATTTCATTAAAAAAAAAAATCAATAACATGTTTGGCCATTGGGGTCATTGCTTGTTCCAAATTTGAAGAAAAGAAAACAAACTGCTTAAAACTTAACTTTTCTTTGCCTCCAGTATTTTGAAGTCTTTAGATTTATAAAATGTAAAAGATAGAAGGGGCAATACAGGCCAATCCTTTGAATTCCCTTAGAAGAAAAGAGTCTACCTCCTGGAAAATGCTGTAGTGATGCCCATTTTGTACTTTTCTCACCTTTAAAAATTTCCCTTTTGTTCTTGTCCTACATCGACTTGTCCATTGGGTCCACCTGCTGCTTTTACCACCCCTACTCCCAAGCAATATGCAAGTTCTTATCTCTGTTCTATGTGAGAACTCATAAATTAATTGAAGAGAAGCACAGTAGTTCCCCCATAGCTACAGTTTTGCTTTCTGAGGTTTCATTTACCTGTGGTCCTCTAGAGTCTGAAAACATAAAGTGGAAAATTCCAGAAGTAAGCAACTCATAAGTTTTAAATTGCTCACTGTACTGAGTAGTGACGTGAACTCGTGCCCCCGGCCCAGATGAGAATCGCCCTCAGCGTCTCCCTTGGTCACTTAGCAGCTGTGTGAGTTATCGGATCTACTGTTGCAGAATCAAAGTGCTTGTGTTCGTCACTTATTTTACTCAGTAATGGCCCCAAAGCGCAGGAGTCTGACCCTGACAATTCGGATATGCCAAAGTGCTTCTTTATGTGAAAAAGTGAAAATTTTGGACTTCATAAGGAAAGAAAGAAAAACCGTATGCTGAGATTGCTAAGATCTAGGGTAAGAATGAATCATCTATCTGTGAAATTGTGAAGAAGGAGAAGAAATGAGTGCTAGATTTTATCTTCCTTCTGATGAATCGTCAGGTCAATAGCAGCCTAACTCGCAGTCACAGCACTAGGTCATTCACCTCACTTCATCTCATCATGTGGGCATTGTGTCAGCTGACACCATCACAAAAAGAGTGAGTACCATATGATAAGATATTTTGAGATAGACCACATTCACAGTTTCTAGTATAGTATATTGCTAAAATTGTTCTATTTTATTATTAGTCATTGTTGTTAATCTCTTACTGTGCCTAGTTTATAAATTAAATTTTATCATAGGTGTATATGTATAGGACAAAGCAGCATACAAAAAGAGAGAGAGAGAGAGAGAGAGAGAGAGAGAGAGAGAGAGAGAGAGAGAGAGAGAGAGAGGAAGGCAGAGGGAGAGAGAGATAGAAACATCGATGAGAAACAACATCAATTGGCGGCCTCCTGCATGCCCCCCACTGGGGATCGGGCCCACAACCTGGGCATGTGCTCTCACTGGGATTCAAACTGGTGACCTCTTAGTGCATGGGTCGATGCTCAACCACTGAGCCACACCAGCTGGGCATCTAATATAATTTTTTAATTACTCAACTATGCATGGGATCAAGTGAATTATATCATCCAGTTCATAGCACCTCATCATCATTGCTCCATGCAAGTGTGTATTATTGTTTCGTCTGCATGCATTTTAAATATATGGGTATAGTATTATGTATTTTTTTTCTTTTCTTAGTACTATTTTTTAAAAGATCTATGTCAGTAGGTGGATATTTAGTCTGTTACACCTAACTGCTTCATAGGACTTTGGGATGTGTTTATCTAAATTAAAGTGTCTGTTCTCTCAGTGATGGACATGCTGACTGTTTCCGACACCCTGATAAATAATATGATAATTTATAAGCTTCCTCACACTGTGTAAAGAATTGGGGTACTGGACCAAGGGGTGTAAATATAGCAAATCTGATTAAGTAATGTCAGGTTACTCTTCAGAATGACTATCAAAGTCTGCCTTCACCTTCATGACGGTCTCCATAACCTCACATCCTCAACAACTTTTGGTGTTTTCCAGGTTTCTGATTTTTGCCAATTTAAGGAGATAGCTTGTTGAAATCATATTGTTGTTTTAATTTTTACTTTCTAGTTACTAATGAATTTGAAAATCTTCCTATGTTTGTTAGTGTTGTTTTATTTTTAATTTCGTATTCTGTAAACTACTTATTATTTACTTTGCTTTTATTTTTCCATTGGAGTTTCTTTTTGTCGATTTCAATACTTACTATTTTTAAACATTGCAAATATCTTCCCTCAGTCTATCATATGTCTTTTATTTTTGCCCATTCATTAATTATTTGGCATATGATTAACTTTTAAAACTTTGTTTAAAATGTTTCTTTTTGCCTGTCTTATTCATAATTGTATTTTCTTACATTTCTCCCCACTAACTTGATAGGTTTTAATCCATTTAGAGCCTAACTTTGTACATAGTGTTGTGAATGAGTTTTATTTGCTCCACAAAATGAACTGCTATTCCCACATCATTTAAGAGCAAAGCATCCTTCCCATTTTGGGGATAATTCCATATTAAGTTCCCAGAAATACATTTATTTATCTCTGAATATCCTTTTGATTCATTGGTCCATTTGTCTGTTCTTGTGCTACTGCATGACTTTTATTCCAATGACCTTATAGTTTATCTTCATATTGGTTGGAAAAGTTCCTCCTCATTATTACTTTTTTCTTATTTATCTAAGAGATATATGTGGCCATGTTTTCTATGCAAATTATAAGTGTATTTATCAAAACATCTAGCTGAAAATAAGAGTGGGATTGTATTGAATTTATACATTAATTAAAGAAACCTGACATTTCCATAGAAGTGAGTTTTCCTACTTAAGAAAATCACATTTCTCTCCCTGTATTCAGACCACGTTTATGTCCTTATTTTAAAGTTTCCTTCAAATTGCTGAGAAATACTAGTTTTAATGTAATTTCTAGATAGATGTATTCAAAGCTATACTTTTTAATCAATGGCGTTTTTTCTTTTGGTGGCATTTCACAGATATTGTCATATGCTCTTTTATTATCATTTAATTAGAAGTAGCATCATACCTCATGCCTAAATGAAGCTTCTCTCTATAAGGCACATCACTACCTTCCCGCACTTAGGAAAACTAGACAGCACTTCAGCACTACACTTAGCAGCAAAATCACCAACAAAATGCACACAAATTTGAAAACAGTGGGTGGCACTAAATAGACCACAAAAGGAACAGTTGTTTACAATATGAACTGAAACAACATCGCCTTATCAGACCTCAGCCCATCAGGAGACTCAAAGTTCTAATCATCCACACATGATTGCAAGTCACTGAATATGCTACAAGTATTGATTTGGGGGGTTAAGTATTGATTTGGGGAGTGAAAATACATTTTAGCAGGCAGGGAAGGTTGCACCTAATGAATACATGAACGAATAATGAGGATAGACTCTTTGGATAAATTGTCCATAGAAATATATGCCCCCCCACACACACATATACATATTCCCAACTCCTGAAATTATAATTCTCTCTCACACCTCATTTCTTTAATTTTTGTGTTATTTGCAGGGGTGGGGTGGTGAGGGTTTGGTAGGAAAGCCAACAGACCATTTATAGTTGTCTTGACTAGTACATACATTGAGTCAGTCAGTAAGTAAAGTCATCAAGACAGATTACCCCACTAGTTGTGGAAGTTTCTAAGTTAAGAGCTTGGCAGCAGCAGTGATTGTGTAGCTAAGTGTAACACAAGGAAGAGAGGTCTGGAACCAAGCACTAGATTACTGATCGAAGATCATCACATTAGCAACCACGCTGGGAAGGCAGTGATGACGGGGAGGAAAGAGGAGAGAAGCTAGACAGCTAGGTACAGTCTACGAGCAGAAATCAGAACTGCACACAGGGAGGAATCGCAAACCACTCCCATCAGCTGGGATTGCTCTGGGCGTGTGGGTGGGGAGAGCTGGGTGTTCTCTGTGCTCACTTCAACCCTATTGGTGCCTGTGGCTTTTCTTTCTATTTTACTTCTTCAGTGCCTCAGAGCAGTTGATGGTTATTGTTATTTTGAATTATTTTTGGATAGTGTCAGTGGCTCTGTTTCTTTCTCTAGTTCAATCTAATTCAGTCTAATTCTCTCAAGATCACATAGTCTGAATTATTAGTTCTCCAAAGAGGGCTGACACCCTGTCAGGGGATTCTAGTTCCTGACCTGGGACCAGATAATCTCTACATAGTGCTCCTCTCATTTCCCAAAATGCTTTTGCCTACTAAATTGTCAGTATACTTTCTCTTGCACTGAAAACGCATACGGAGGTTAGGGGTGGGAAGTGGGGGGATGGGCTTGGTAGTGGGTGACAAAAGAGGGAATGGGGACATCTGTATGAGTGTCAACAATAAAAATAAAGACAACAAAACAAATACAAATATATCCACTTACAGTGCTATATTTTAGTCTATTTTTCCCTTAAGGTAGCTACTTGCAAATTTAATTGTTTTTGATGACTAGGATCAAGCATACATTTCTATAAGTTACTACAGTACCCACCCATGGATAGAACAATATATATTTTGGGGGGGGGTAGTTATTTTTCTCTTTAAAATACTGCCTCCACTTAGTATAATTGAAGTATGTGTATGGAATAAAACTTCTGACTAACTTTTAGCAATTTGTTTTATTAGAGTTGTCCCCCCGAAAAGTATTTCCAGCCAAAATACTACTGTTTTGAAGAACCTTTGCTTCTACAATGAAAAGAATTTTGGAGAATTAGTTTAAGTATCTTCAAAATCAACATTTTGGACTGGTCAGACACTATGAACATCGTCATCTTTTCAAATGCATCTTTAACTGCCAAGTGAAAGGACATTGTGATCTGAATATTGTTTTCAAAGACAGGTAAATTTGTTGCAACCACACACTTAGGTGCACTGGAGTGACTTGAGCTACCATACAAAGTTGAAAGGAAACTGAACTCAGAGCAGTTTTTCTACGAAGTATTTTGGCTAGAATTGTTTGTATGAAGGGCCATTTTTGTCTAGGCAATGGATACATTATGTCTCAAATTTCTGCAGGTTATGTTTTCCCTCGTATTTCTTACTCCATTTCTGAGCCATTTTTAATGCCTGTGTGAAAAAAAGTTGACTTTATTTTTGTGGCCAAAAATCTGCTTTTTATCTCTGCAGCTAGTTCAGCTTTTATATTTATTTTTTGGTGCAAGAAATCATGATAATTTGAATTCTGAGTTCATGGAATTGGACTTAGAAAACAATTGGGTGTTGGAGCTTCTAGCAGTAGCATCAACTAGAAGGACCCAATTTCAGCCCATTTGTAGCTTGATTTCATCCTGCAAGACATACTTAAGCATAAAGACCTAAAAGTGGTAGGTGTAGCATTGAAATAGCATCACACTTAGGATGCAATGAGGCATAAGGTAATGCTGAATGCTTTACATTCACTAACACGGCATTATTCCAGCGTGACACACAATCCAAAGCTTTTGCAATTACAGCTGTGACCTCAAATTAGATTTTAAAACATGTATATATGTATGTGCATTTATTTTTTTCCCCTTCATTTTATTTCCCAATGGTTTAGAAATGCAAATGCTGGTGGCTTCTTAAAATAACTCTCTTTACCCAGAATATCGTCCTCTCACCTCAACTGACTTTTCTTTGGACAATGACTGATCTTTTGTGTGGATGGGCAGGACAGAGGCTTGGTTTTTGGGGAATGGAGTTAGGGGCGGAGGTGCTCCTGCTTCTGTTACACTGAAATTACACTCGTTACCTGAAAGGATTAAATTCCTTTCTCACTGAGGGGTGTGTGTGTGTGTGTGTTTCCATATACATTGAAAGCAAGACTCAAATCAGGTGTGTAAAGCCACAATGACAGTGCCCGCTGAGCTGACAAAAAGTTGCCCTTCCTCTCTGTGCCAGGATTAAGTCACAGGGGCTTCTCACTGCCTCTGGGCTGTAATTCTGCACGACATGAGCTCAGAGTGACATTTGAACATTTTCTCGTGGTTTGTGGAAGCATTTCCTTCCCCTCAGAAGGCCCTTTACATCACTAGGGGGGCCCAGACAGGGAGGCTTTCCCCACCCCCATCGCTGATGCCCACAGTACTGGGCCACAGAAGGCTGGGGTTGACTCGCCCATTGTCTAAGTACGCCTGATGTGTGAGCATTGCATTTGTGCCTTATGTCCCACAGCTTCCTGCCTTTCTTAGAAGATTATATAATCACTTATCTATTCTATTTTTAAAGCAGATTAATTTGATTTAGTAGGAAGGAGACAAGGGAGAAAAGGAAGGAATAATGGGAGAAAGCCAATATTATTTCTTTCAAAGCAGTTTGGTTTAGAGTCATTTTATTAGGTCTGAAAAATTAGAATTGGAAAAAGAAAATCCATTGTGATGCTATATTCTAGTTTGGAAGGGAACATAAATCCACACTGGCACTGACTTCCTAGTGCTAATAATTAGGACTGCTTTGTACATGTTTGCAGGATGCACTCCTTGTGAGAGGAGGGGCTGAGCAGCATGTCTGCCCCTGTAGTTGTAGGAAGGCCTCTGTCTAGCAGTGGGCATCTCACACCTTCGCTGTCCCTCTCCCACTTACTGAACATCTCCTTTCTCCATGAATCTTTCTGAAGATTTTGTTCTCAAAAATTGTTCTGGTCCTGGCCAGTGTGGCTCAGTTGGTTGAGTGTCATCCCCTTTGCCAAAAGGTCACCAGTTCGATTCCCAGTCAGGGCACATACCCAGGTTGTGGGTTCAATTCCTGATCCAACCCCAGTCCAGGTGCATGTTGGAAGCAACTGATGGATGTTTCTCTCTCACATTCAAGTTTCTTTCTCTCTCTCTCTCCCTCTCCCTTCCTCTTTCTCTAACATCAATAAAACCATATTTAAAGAAATTATTCTGAAAGAGCAAAATAAATACAATCTATACCTTGGATTTTTAAAAAATCCTCACCCAAGGATATTTTCCATTGATTTTAGAAAGAGAGGAGGGGGCGGAGAGAGAGAGAGAGAGAGAGAGAGAGAGAGAGAGAGAGAGAGACATTGGTTGCCTCCGTAAGTGCCCCAACCGGTCTGGAACTCACAACCTAGGTATGTGCCCTGACCAGGAATCCAACCTGCAACCTTTTTAGTATAAGGGATGACATTCAACCAATTGAGCCACTTGGTCAAGCTATATATTGGATTTTTATGCAATGTAAAGCTTTAGAAAACTTTCCGTTTTAAAGTTTCTTTTTTGTTCCTTTTGTCTATTTCACTCAGATAATTTCAAAAGAAAAAAACTAGGTTTATATGGCTGAGAATATGGAAAATACATTTACGGAGGGTGGAGAAAGTTTAAGTGGTCATAGTGGAAGGAACATTCTAAGAGAAAAAAAGGAGAAATACAGACTGAAGAATAGTACATTGGGCAAAATTACCTTGTAGGAAGTTGGCTGAAGTGATTTTGAAAGAAAATGGGATAAAAATGCTGGGGTTATAGGAATAGATGAAGGACTGCTAGAATTGCTCTCTTGGGATGAACAGAAAGAAAAGTGATGAGAAACATACTTTCTAGAAAGATATAACTGTCCGTAAGGCAAATACTTGGTTAATTAGAATCAAGGAGGAAAAGGGAAATATTGTAAAATGCTTTGAGAGCTAGAAATAAGTTGGAGCGCATGAAAGAGAAATTGTACTGTGCAGAGTTAAATGGGCAAGGAAGATATTGCTAAAGACTATGGTACTAGGGGAGAGAAGTCGGACTCATCTAAGCCTGAAATAAAAGGTGGGAGAGTTTTTTTTGTTGTTGTTGTTTTTTAAGAGAGAGAGAAACATCGACCCAAAAGGGACACATCGAGTGGCTGCCACTCACATGACCCAACCAGGTCCAGGGACAAACTGCAACTGAGGCACGTGCCCTTAGCAGGAACCGAACCCGGGTCTCTCAGAACTGCAGGCTGATGCTGTAACCTCTGAGCCAAACTGGCCAGGGCAAGGTGGGAGAGTTTTTAAACTGGAGGTAGGCTAGTGGGAAAAGCACTGGAGGACGGGAGGAGGAGATTGTTCAACATGATGAGGCCATGTGTGTGTGCTAGTTCTTGCTTATGAAGGTAGACTCCTCTCACAGAGACTGGCAGATGGAGTGCAATCTTTCTGGTGATTGCATTTCAAAAGAATGGCTCCCAGGTTCTCGAGAAAGACACTCTTGGGGTTGTAAAACTGGCACGAAGCTGAGAGAAGAGTTACATTTCAAGTGGACAGAGAAAGAATTCACAATTGAAAATTTTCCAGGAAAAGGGAGGTCAAAGGCCTATTTTCAGGAAAATTAGGTCTGGTAAGGTAAGAGGAAATTTAAAGCTACTGTATGGGTCAAAAAACAAAAACAAAAAAAGACCAAAATTGTAAATGTAGGGGATTCTGTAGACCTAACATTTATTATATAAAATAGAAATATATGAATCTGCTCCATAAAATTGTTGTATGACTTAGACATATTTATATGTATAAAATACTTGGAACACTGCCTGGGACATAACAAGTGCTACATAAATGTTAGCTATAATTGTTATTATTATTTCTGTGAATTATGTGGGAAGAGAAAATAAAGAATACTAAAATATAGGGGTCCAACTCAATAATTAAGATATATTACTTGTGAATAACATTTTTATAAAAATGAAGGGTCAATAAAAGCTTTAGTATGATGTTTTAAGCCTTTAATTAGGAGTTATTTTGCATTAAAGGCAGAACAATGCACTTGGGGTCAATGTCTACCCTTTACCTCCAATTTTTCAATTAATGAATACTGACTGTGCATACAGATAAAAGATATAAAAAGCAAGGCTCAGTTTCTTTTTCCAAGGAGGTCAAAGAGGAGTAACAGATAGAGGACAGTTACAATGCAACATTGCAAAGGCAATGATAGAAATATGCATATAGTATTTTTCTAATCATCAATGGGAAATGAACCGGTCTGGATTTTTCCTGAGAGGTGGGCAATACTCTTGGTAGTAGAGTTATAAAATTAGAAGATCATAAGTTTACTGAATAGTCTGCAGAAGTTTGAAGGCTGGATTCAGCCTTGGAACTCCTTGGTCCGACATGGAATGGTATTTTGTATACCAATATTTGATTAATCGCCTTTCCTCCATCCCCACAGGGAACATGGTCAAGTTTTACCAGGGGAGCTAAGCTCTTTAGCTCAGTGCAATGTTCCTCAATAGTCCAATGAAATGGAAAAAAAAAAAGAGAAAAATTTTATTACTATATTGGAAACAGACCAGACCCTCTGGCACCCATAACACAAACCCCCTTAACATAAAAAAAATGGTGGAAAGTCTAAGGGAATGAAGAGTGAGAAAGGGAGTCAGAGTAGACAGACACTCCGTGTCACGGTGGTAACACTAAAAATATTCCCTCTGACCAAGCCAATTTCCTAGGACTGGCAATGAAAACATTTCCTGGATAAGAGCCAAAATTTTTATTCTGGCTTCATGGTAATAACAAGAGAAGCCACTGACTAGTCACCATTTTTGCCATATGTCTGAATGAATACAAGTGCAGCCATATCTCTTCTGCATCTGGGATAGAATCTTAGCTTCTCTCATGAGCTGCAGAAGGAAAAATGCTCACCAGGGAAACTCATGCCCATGGCTAGTCATCTGACACAACTCAGTGGTAAAAGGACATATGAGCCTCCCTGCCCCCAGTGTCCCTGAGCTGTTGCAAGGGAGACACATGAATAAAAAGGTCAGAAATACTGTATTATCTAAAAGGGGCAAAAAGAGGCTATGTTGGTCAGAGATTATGCACAGGAAGCAAAAGGGCCATGTCCTGTACCCCGGAGTCCATACTGAATACAAATAAGATTGGAACCATCCAACACTTAGCCCACGATGTCTTATCAGTAATGGCCTGGCTAACTCATTTATTCCTGCCAGTGCCACCGTCCGACCTAACTCTCTCTGTCACAATGACTAATGAGCAATTTATCACTAACACTAATATGGCCAAGGGGATGAATTAGCCATACTTGATTACCTCCATAGGGTAAATAATAATCTTCTTGAGCCTTTTGGCCTAAATCTTCTTTAACTAAAGAACTTGGCCTTGAATCTCTATTCTCTTCTGAAATTGGTTTAGACTCTTTCCCAGATCAGAGAACTCTTCAAATTAACTGTCAAAATGTTTTCATTTAACTATCCTTTGTATGATTTTAGTTCTGCACCTATCAAAGCCATCCAAAGGAAAACAAAACAAAACAAAAAAGCACATCACAACTTGGAGAATGGAAAAGCAAAGAACTCAGGCGAAGAATCTATTTCCCTGAAACTACAATGCTCTGAAGTCGGAACTTCAGCTTCACTCTTGGCTAACAAATGCTCCCTCTACATCCAAACTAGCACTGCCAAATCATTAATTGTAAAATGTTAAGCAAACCTTCAGCCATAAAAGGAGGCTCTAAGGAATAGTTTTGAAGAGAAAGTAAAGGAAAGGTTTTGCTTTACTCTTGCCAGAATATTCAACCCTTGCATTTTCCTTACCTCAAAAGCCAAACCTGCAAGCTGACTCTGATGCACCAACATTTGATACTGTGTGAAAGGACACTTATGTATGAAAAATTCCAGTATCAAGGACCTGTGAAATAATTACTTTAGTTTCATAAACTGATAAGCCTGTATGCTCTTTGTACCAAGAATAAAGTTATCTTACCCCACTTGTTTTTTTGTTTTTTCTTGAATGTATCCTGGTGTACCTGGACATGTGTACACACACACACACACACACACACACACACACACACACACACACATTCTGCAGGACTAATGCAGCCAATTTGAACGCAGAACACAAAGTGCCAGACATGGTCAAGCAAGGCCATAGAACACTTTATCTTAGTTTTCTCCAAGGTGTCATCTTGATTATCTTTTGCATTTCATTAGAGTTGCTACAAAACCCCTGAAATCTATCTTAATATGCAAGCAGTATGGAGCCCAGATAAACAAGCAAAATAGGAGTGGGGTGCAAAGCAGATGTTCTTCTGTGGGTCTCAGGAATGGTACTCCTTTGTGTTTTGGGGGTAATCAAGCTGATTAATTATGCAGGGTTTGAAGAGAGAAATTTTGCTTAATTCAAATATCTTCTAGTTATCACTTATTTATTTCCTTAAACATAGATGTTTACATCTTTTTCTTACAGTATGTAGAATAATTTCCAGGAAGGTATCATAGGTATCTTGAAATCAAGATATACTAAATGGGATGATATAGTTTATCTTTCATATTTGGAACAAATAACAGTGTCTTTAATTATTTTTACAACTCTTTTTGAAAGGTAGTATTGTGTTGTTATATAAAAACAAAGTATACTTAAAATATTTGTTTAAAAGGAAAAGTGGCTTTATGCAATACAAAGATCAGTTTGGACTAGTTGCTATGGTATCTTTAATATTGACTGGACATCATTCACTAAAAGATAAATCTACTAATTCATCTTTATATACAGTTTGTAATTAAAATAATTTTAGCTTCATCACTAATGTAAGCTGTTATTTCTTTTTTTTACTGCAAATAGAAAGAGAATAATTTTAGGCTGCTCTTTGATATGATAAGAAGATGAAAATAAAAGAATAAACTTGTCACATGATAGAAGGTTGTAAATAAGGATTTATCTCTGATAGGCTCAACAGAAATGTCATGGGGCAGAGCCTGCTGCACAAGCAAAATTTAACATAACTCATATACTATTAGTGCCATAATTCTTCCTCTGAAGAAATAAAGGGATTTTCTACCTTTTAAAAGTTAGAAATTTGGTTCATCTATTTGTGTGCTTAGTTGTTTAAAATAACAGCCTCTAGTGTCTCACACAGGAGGTTGAGACCCCTCCTGCTGGATTATACCATGAGTCATAACAACCTCAGCAACTCTATCTGAAGTAGCAGGCTGTGGTAGCAAATGTCCACAAAATTAATTATGTTGAGGGAAAGTAACAGTTTAAGAAATATACACAGTAAGCCTCTCTTAAAAATGAAGAGGCATCAAAATCTAATACACAATTATTTTGACAAGTTCACACAAAGAAAATAAATCATTACTGGTCATAGGAAGGGCTAATATTGATAAGATTGCATTTATCATTGTCTTTCAACACTTTCAGTTGTGTAGGATGCTTAAGCAAGAACAATTTCAATGTAAGAAAGGTCGTGATACGTTGATGATGCAAATAAGATGATTTAGATTAATTGTAAACCACCTAACTGCTACTTTTCAAGTTAGTCGATGTATCATATGTGAGATCTGCTGGCATTGATACACTGCATTTCCATCTGCATTGCAAACTGTGGCAAAATGATTTTCCCCTCAAATACTTCCATTCTTCTCACATGAATGCTCTGAGCAAACAAGGCTTGGAACAAAAATACATATTTGTAAAAAAGGGGAAAAAAGGACAACTATTTTTATAGGATATATTGTTTACTTTTTCTATATTCTTCCAATGATATTACAAGGGTGCTTGAAATCATCAATCCAACGCATGGGATAACTGTCTATGTGTAAGGATGAGTCATTACCATTTATAAAAGATCAATTCAAAATCTCAGTTATTTATTTAGGATTAAATAGTGTTTCATGACAAGGATGCATGTTCAGAATCACTCCAGTACAGTGACATTTTTGGTTTGAGATTGCTGAGAGACTGTATAAAATATCTTTATAGTCAAGCCATTAGTCAGACTACTAACTGGCTAATTGATTAATATACTCATCTAAATAAATGATGAAAATTAATAGAATTTATCATATAATTGGTTAAAACTACCACATTTTGCCATTTTTGCACATCAAAATTAACAGTTTAATTACCATGAAATATTTGCCCTAGACAAGTTTTTAAATAGAAGTATTTGTTCTCATTTTTGTGATGTGGAGAGTTTGGGTGGCAATTAATAGCAGCCACTATATAACTAATTTTCACAGCATTACCAACATATAATCTTAATCTACAGCTTTAGGAAATGAGTTTTGATAATTCAATTGTTTCCCTCCTAGGCCTTTATGCTCCTTATTGAGCTTGCCAAAAAGCAGAAACAGGAGTTATTCAACATCTTCAGAAACCCATTACTTTTCCAGTGTGTCCATCTCCTGACTGGTAAGTGTTTGCTTATTGAAACCCCGTATGGGCTCCCTCACCAATGTAAGCCTGTGGAAGAGAAGTTTGAGATGTAAGAGATTGGGCTCTTTTCCTGTTTCATCCTGCAGGAAGTATTGTCTGTTTGTTTCGGGTGCCAGGAAACTATATTTCTTCTTTCTCCTGTAATCTTTTCAGACTTTCATCTATGTCTGATCTTAACTTTGAGTATCTTAACATCAAAGAATTTCTCCCGAGATAAAAAGTAAACAAAGCTGATGCAAACAAATACACATTTTCAAAGAATTCTATCCTGATTTACGTTAGACTCTAATCCCAAAGCCATTAGTCCTTACCTCTGCTACCTACCTCAACATAATAACCATGCTCATAATGTGTACTGGTGGGTTGAAAAACGGACAACTTCAAATAAGGGCTCTAGACAACTATTTAACTTATGAATGGCATTTTGTTGGATATTATTAAATATTACTTTACCTTCTGCAGCAGTGTTCTACTCCTTAAGCTTAAATTTTATAGGTGCTTAACTAAAACTTTTTCTTTTCATTAGTTTTGTGTAAACAAGCCTCATCTATTTTAAGGTGAGGTGCAGCTATGCAACAGAACAAAATCGAAAAGAAGGTAGAAAAGCATTTTGTGATCATAGTGCCTGATTTGAAACTCGGCTCAACCACTTACTAGTTTAACAATATTAGTACTTCAGATTTTTCAAAGGTGTATAATGCACATAACAATATTTGCTTCAAAAATATAGCATTATTGAAGGCATTGATCTGTTCAAAGCACTTAGAACATTGCTGGTACACGGAATATGTTAGCTCTCATTAGCCCCCAATTAGCCTGAAGCTGAACCTGCTATTACATCTGTAACCATCATCCCAGCTCTCCCCTACGTGATTTCCTGACTGCATGTGAGGGAACTTTAGCGCTTAAACTAAAAGGGAGACAGAAGAACAAACACGATTTTTATTTAAATAATCTATGGGCAAATTAATCTAACATTCTGCCAAGATACTCTTAATGATTAGTCCCCAGGCTGATCCATCATCAGTAGTTTGTAGCTAGTTTGTTCCTTACCCTAGAGTAAAGCTGAAGGCACTTCTTTCGTTAACACACTAGACATTAATTAAGGTAAGCAGGGGACTAGAATGTGTAATTGCTATTGTAAAGTATACAGAACATTACAAAAAAAGAAAAAAAGCGAACTTACTAATACATAAAAAATACAGTTTTTCTTCCTAAAGAATAAAATAGATATCTCTTTTTGAAAAAATGTACTTAAAGTTGTAGTAGAAAATTAGTAAAACTCTATTCTCCCTTTTTAACCATTTGATGCATAGAATACAGAAAACTTTAGAGCAATCGTTGGTCAGATTCTAGAAGTAAGATTCACCAAAACTGACACTTTGATTTCTCTTCAAGTGTGTAGCATTTCCATTGTATTTTTTTTTAATCCTCACCCGAGGACATTTTTCGATATTTTGTTCAGATGGAGGGAGAGGGAGAGAGAGAAACATCGACATGAAAGGGACACATCGAGTGGTTGCCACCCACACGACCCAACCAGAGCCAGGGACAAACGGCAACCGAGGTACATGCCCTTAGAGGGAACCAAACCCTGGTCTCTGACGTTCTAACTGCTGAGCCAAACCAACCAGGGCTCCATTGTATTTTTAATGTCACTTCCTGAGTGTCCCATTAATTTTCCTAATTTTTCAATATCAGTTTGCTAATCGATGCTCAAATTTTGAAAATCACTCTTGATTTCTTCCTTAACCCTCATATCCAATAAGCCATCAGTCACCTTACTTTGGCGCCGTAACTCTAAATAAGCTCTTTCTGTACATTCGATGGATTCTATTATTGTTAAAAGCTCAACCTCTATAATTAAGTGATCTGTATATAAATCTCTATCTTGCATGTGATCTTAGGTCAGTTCTTCATTTGTAAAATGAGTGGTTACAGATATAATGCTATTACACGTAAGGGCCTTGTGCAGTGCCCCACTGTGGAAGGTCTCAATACATGAGATCACTCATGTTAATAGTGTTGTTTCCATTGTCATCACTCTGGTCAGGTCTCTACAGTTTCTTTTCTAGATCACAGCAATAATCTTTCCATTTTCAGTCTCTCTCATCAACAGTTATCCTGTACAACATTGTCAGATTAATCTTTGGATTCTATACTGCTTTCCCAAATGACCAAATTTTTTTGTCTTGGTGCATTACATTCTCCATCCTGCCTCACACCCCATAGTCTGTTCTGCTCTATTCCTATTCACCATTTCCTGAATATGGGAGGTACCTTGCTGATTTTGAACATTATTTATACCATGCTTTCTGCTTGGAAGCCCTTTATCCATTGCAGTCGATGATATTTATCAATTGTTTCAATGCTACATCAAACAGCACATCTTTAAACCTTCGTTGAGTTCCTAGTCGCAAGTAATCCTTTGATGCTTTCCTTCAATG